AAATCAACCTGATAAACCAGAGATAATACGCCTTATTTCTTGGAAGCCTGTTTTGTCGCGGAAGAGTTGTTACAGACAAACAGTCCATGCATCCAAAAGTATTCTCAGTTGTGAGGAATATTACTCTTTGGGACGTTTTCCTTGGGCGCTGTGTACACAAATCCCAAATTAAAACCAAACAGCATAAACAAAGACCACTGTCCAGCAATCTTCAAACACCTGGAGCCCACAATGTGACCTGAGAACTCACATCAGGTGGATGTGTGGTGAAGTAGATATTTGGTCATTTTTGCGAAAAGGGTACAAATCAGGCTCTCTGCACTGATCCTGTATTGATACTTAAGAGTAGTTAGTTTGCTCATTACATGAACTCTAGATCCTAGATCTACATTCCCGTATACGTACTGTATCAGATTTGGAACAAATGAATTGATTAATTATTTTGGAATGATCCTACCCAATCATGGGAAGCTAAGTATCAAAGTTTTATCTATGTACATAGCTGAATGGGATTCTGGCAGCCAGTTGGTTCGTTTCGGATTTGTTATGGAATCACTCTCCATCTGCTGCAAAATTCAACTATCTGTGGGTGCCATTTAGAAGAATCTGACCGAGTGCCAAACATTATCATCAGTCCATAACTAACCCCACCGGTTCGAAAGGCAGGGAAGCAGCAGAAGACAAAAAAGTATTTAAAAAACCCATGAACTTTACGTAACTCATTCATAATATTCTAGACTTTATGAGGTCGGGATTGGAACCATTATTATCTTCTGAGTGACAGTACTACATCTAGCATACCTCGTATTTTTGCAGACAAATGGACCACATTTACGCACCCGGGTGGACCAGAATCATTGCTATGAAACTCGTCGGGGAATCAGTAATTAATTATATTAATTACATCTGCCCAGTGCAGCTCGTTTCATGTGCCTCACGACACCGAAACACATCGATGTTTGACCACACGGTTTGACAGAACAGCACAAAAATTCTGACTTTAATTCCTATTAACGAAAACAGATAGGTGTCTGTTGGAATTAAAAAGTACTAATCCATACGGTAGCCAAAATGCAGTCAGATTATCGCAGTAAAAAGCTCGTACTAGGTGAACTGCATTTGACGGAAATTCTAGACAACGAACTGTCACCTAGCTGCTGTTGCTTATCTGTTTGCACCTGTCATGTCATACACCTAACTTCGATAGCTACAACCATCGGATACACTGCGAAACCCTCATAGTCTTGCCATTTTTATGCTAAGTACGGCATGAATAATTATGGTAAGGCGTGTGAGACAACTTTCTCTCAACGAGTGTCGAAAAAGATGCCACACAAAAGTTAGCGACTAGTGTATTGTGGTTATGCTGGCGAACGTAGGTAGATTATTAGTGGCGAACGAGCGGAAAAATTTGGTAGATGAGTGAATTGAGGTGTGCCTCAATGTTAAGACAAAACGAAACAAATGTAAGGCTGTTTTTATCCTAATAGGTTCCCAATCCTTCGGAAGGGTGACAAGTGAGTACCCAGAATGAACGGCATCTTCCACTCATTCGCTTGTTCATTTATTCACTGAACTAGTAAAAACAGTCAAATACCGTAGCCAGGAGACATTTGTGCAGAACCGAAAATGTTTTCGTTCGAGAGTAAAGGATACCTTCTGCTACAGCTGACGATTTTTCTTTTACTTTCATAAAAAAACTAAAAATGCTGATATTACAGAATTCAAATTCCGACCCTGGTATACATGTTACGTATCTGAATACAGGTCACGGAGACAAACTAAGCATTTTCTAGGCGTCACTCGTTGGTGCATCGTAAATATTCCGCTACAGTTCTACATGACATTTTTAAACTAGAAGCTTCAGTTACCTGAGGGGAGATTTGTTTCGATCAACAGTTTTGATGGATGAGAAAAACGGAATGCTGTTCCCACAGGTTCGTTCTTCATTCAGATTCGGTCCAACTGATAAGAATGACAGTTTGCGTGTGCGTCAAAATTCGAACTGTAAAAACTGGGACATCGCGTAAATACACTAAACTAGGACAAGGCAGCACGAGTTGCTTTTCACACACTAACGACGTGAAACGAAAGGAGTTTGTTCGGATGAGAATATCGAGCTCTGCAGGTAATCCTTCAAGGTTTTCTCGCATCTCAGGATGGCAGTTAATACTGCCATTTTACTTTCAACTTGCAAACGCGCTTCACATTGTGCTTAATCAAGCCTGGCTTGCAGTACCAAAACATTACAAGAAGTATGGATCGTTTTCTGCCCCAAGATTGAAAAGTGCTAGTACTTTTTGAGCTCTTGTGAACAAAGTAGAATGACTACGGATAACAGTCAGTAATGTCGTCGAAAAAGCAAGGAAATGTACTAATCCGGTGTCTCAGAGAGATGCAATGTAACAGATCAAGTGGAAGTGGAGCACGGAATCATTTAAGCCGCAGACAACCTCCAAACGTATGGATTGGACTGTCTCCAAAATGAAGCACTTATAGCTGAGATGGGCTTCCCGAATGGATTTTCGGAAACCAGTTTATTCGCCCGTGTAGCCGAGTGCAAACTGTGGTTGGCTGACTGCCCTGTGCTGAAGAAAATCTACCACCATAGGGAGCTGTTGAACAGTTGGCCGTAGTTGCCTGTATTGTTAGGAGCACAAAGAGTTGCTAAACCTGGTGCAACTGATTCAACCAACAAGAAATAACCGCCGGTTTAATAAGGATATGTATGTTTTCGGTCCCTTGCTGACATACCCTAGCGGAAACGCTCCTGACACTCTTGTGAGCCATGTAATGCAGTGGACGGAGTTGATCGCACGTAAGGAAAAAAACGTAAAATGTTGACGCATATAACGAAGTAAGTGACCCTCAACCAGTGCTCTGGTTTTGAATCTGGAAAGTTTGAAGTTATGTTGAACCATTTCGGACTTGGAGCAATGAAAACGTCGGGGCATCATCTCTGGGAAAACGAAGTGAATCCAAACCTAGTAGACCTGCCTCTACTTATTCTTTTTTCCGGCATTTCAACTGCATCAGGCGAATGAGACTGAGGCGAAGAAAATTGATGTGCTGTCAGGCTGATACCTTGAGTCAAGTGATTAGAAATGGTAAAGACGTCGATTTGGTACCTGGAAGTAATGAGTTCATCATGACAGGTCTCGACCGGCTCACTGTTCATCACCTGGATTTTCTGGAAAAGCAACGTGAACTATAAGGTAGGCTCTATATTAATTTTATGGTTTCATAAACAACTATATCCAGAAGTTCACCACAAGTTTATAATGCTTCCTACACTAGGCGTCCTCGCTATAACGCGCCTCTTTAGAGCCGTGCAACGGGCTCCTATTGTACTACCCTGCATGTTTTTGGAAGGCGAGGTGTACAAACACAATTAAACGTAACGCCCGATTTGCTTAGATCACGAGGTCAGGTTTGTGGGGCGCACGCTTGTACGCTAATGATTGCTCAGCCTGGTAACCAGAATATCCTGTTGTCGTTGTAAGGCTTGTGCGCAATGCAGCGAAGCATTGCAAATTAGGCGGAAGCAGGCCTAAAGGTGGTCCGTCAGTTTGTTTCCCCAGCTTTATGAGCCCTGAAAGCATTCAGTGTGACAAAAAGCTTGCGTTCTCTTAATTTGGTTCAGCAATACGGCTGTAATGGCATATGTCTTCGGCTAAGGACCAGAAAAGCTTGTTTATGGAATGTTTTTCAGCTAAACTAAAACCGTCAGCTATAAAGGAACTATCAAGGAGTAGGTCAGTGAAAATCCTAACACATGGTCATTGATGCTACATACCGCGAACTAAGATCTACTTCAAAAATGTTTAGATATTTCATGCTTTAATGTTGGATATGCTGCCTGCTGTTGCAGTGATTCGAGTGTACGAGCAGCTGGGATCTCCTTATAGTATAATTAGTCAACCGGTACAAACCTGAGCTTTATCAACCCGAGCTGAAGCTCTTGCAATTTTGTTCATTTTGATTAAACAGCAGATTTCATCTACTGTTTGACGGTGCTCCTCTAAACTAATTATACCAGCGATGGATTAGGAAAAGGATACACTAGAAGGAAGAGTTCATTAGGATGTCACTGTGTAGTATTTAACGATAGAACGCTGTGTCCATCCCAGATTATTGTGGGTTCACCTGACATTATAGCATCAGATATGTGGTAAGGCAAGCCCACTAAGAAAGCCAGCATTTCAGGCGGTTGTGGAAAACAGTTGCCCATGTTGAATTCCCGGTACCCACATAAATATGAGGGAACAAAATCCAAAAAACAATACACCTAGGTGTGCAGGCTAGCGCAGTCCGCGTTCATAAAAGATGTGTCAAGGTAATTCTGGTTATTGAAATCACGGGAAAAAACATTAATTGTCGACAAGTTGTGGAGTTTCCATATATCCTGTGATGAAATCACTGCAGTTCGTTAGTAAATGCACCTATAAAACAGTGCATGGTCCTCTAGTCGCTTGTATACGACCAGAAAATCTACATTTAACGCGAAATTTACTTTAATATAATGACACTAATAATGCATTTTTGGATTAGGATCAATCAAATAAATAAAGAAATCGAGGACGGTGATGTAAATTTCAATGTTGCTGAAAACGGAGAACCTTCCTTGGGGCTAATTTGCGCAATTTGAAGAGCTTTCACATAATGGGTGTTGTCAACTTATTTTTCAACATTTGTAAGACAATTACGAATAAAACGAGTTTAGACACACCGAGGATATTCTAAAATGCGAAAGCACAAAGAAATGCGCAAAGCATTTCTCTGGCAAATAAATCCAATTTAGCCTTTCTGCCACAGCTGTTTTTATACACCTGAATCAATATTCATCCACTGGAGGGATTTCACTAAGTCTTGGTGGCCAGTGTCACAGTGGACTTCCCGTGACTTAAGATCGATTATTAGTCATTTTATTTACAACGAATCACAAAAACGTTTACAAAAATAATAAACAAAAGCAATAGTATCAGAGAGACATATTATTTTCATTTGCTCCCATTATTAGTTCCGTAACGCACAGCCCAGTCACTCAAACTGTTGACCATCCCAAAAGGGCCATTTTGCAAATGTCTACTGCGAGGAGATTGATGCTCTTTAAATGGATCTTCATTTTCGGCCTGATGGGATACACTGCGCAAAAATACTGAATAGGGTTCACAACCGCATTGGTGCAACAAGTTATTGTTTTCCCACGTATTCCTTGATGGGTATCTCCGCTCGACTAGTTCGTTTGGCACTTTTGTTGAGACTTGTTGATTAGATGTCCTTTCATCAGTTTCCCTCAAGATCTCTAATGAGGTTGTCCGATTTGGAATAGCGTGTCTTTTATAATGAAGGCTATCCATAGGATGGTTCGCTTCATAACAGTTGCTGAATGGATGTATTTGTCGTATGTACAAAATCATATTCTCTCCGTTTGGGAAATCTCGTAAAAGTTGTGATGCGGCGTCTTGTGACCAGCCGTTTATTGGTTGATTATTGACTCTGATTAGTTCATCTCCTTCACGAATCCCAGCATTACTGGCTGCAGAAAAGGGTAGCACTACGTCTACAAAAAGACCCTGTCAGGAGAAAATAGAGAGAAATCGCCCGAGGATCTTCTTTGAAATGGCGCATAATATATGATACAAAAAAGATTTGATTACTACTAGCTTACTTAGTAGCAAAATACTGGCCAACTCGTATAAATTGTGTTTAACAATTAGATGAATCAAACCAGTGTTGTTGAACTAGCGTAAAGAAACTGATTACCTACTAGCAAAAAATGATTTTCCGGTCAGATGAAAATCTGCCTCCTCATCGATGTGCTGCACGAAGCTTACGCTACATCCGCAACGTTGTAGCAGTGACCATTTTGTTAGGCGAATACAGCACAATATAATACAATGTTTTTCACGTGACACGGTGCTCTGCAAAATCCCCGAAGGACGACACTCTCGTCCTCGTTCGCTTTGTACATGAGTCGAAAGTGTCCTACCTACTAAAGCTGCACGTCTCCGTCACATGCTTTGCTTGGTCTCATTCATTGGCACTTGATAAGCCAAATTATATTCATGGGCTTTCTGTATGGAGGCTACTAATAACCTAGCCTTGGTTTGTCTATTTTTCAAGCAAGACAGACACCAAGTTTGTCTTAGTGGCGGACACCCGAAAACTAAAATATGCATGTTTAATTTAAAAATCAGTTCCTCGGTCAACAAACCTCCCATTTCTGCTCGGGAAATGAGTTCTGTCTCATTAAAAAAATGCTCCATCTTAAATTCACATGCCGCTGGAATAAAGGGGCTTTTCTGCCTGATGTTCCCAAAATAGTGAGCATGATTATAGCTGCCGTTATTTCGACGTCAAAGAAACGTATTTGTTATGTAAATCTTAGATTTCTGCATATTCCGGAACAACATGGTACCATTTAATTAAACTCTGGCGTATTCGTCTAAAACAAGCATTATCGCACAAAAGCATGTCAACATCCAGTCATCCGTGATTCTAGCGGATTTGTTTGTAAATGCAAAAAACCTAAGCATACGCCCACCTATTTTTAGCACAGTGATCCTGACAATGCAAAACCAAAGTATATGCTGTTCAATGACGGGATTTTAAAACCTTAATTTCGGTTTTACTTCGCATTTCCAAACTAATCTCCCTCTCAAAATAACTACTCTCTATGGCTAATATTTGAAGCTATTTAAAATTAGGAATTATCAAATTTATTACAGTTTGTCAAGTAAGTACTTCTTGGGCCAAAGAAAATTTTGTTCTTTCAGTTTATGTTATGAACATGTGACGTTGTTTTGTAATCCGCCAAGATTTCCACAAGTCTGCTTTCAGATTTAATGAACGCTAATCATTTGTATCAGATTTCAAAATCACTATCAACAAAGTGACTAATTGCTGGGTGAACGAAACCACTAAATATAAAGCCAAACGGCCATTCCTCCAAACCGCACATAGCATCCCGAAGGAAAAGCAATCACTGATATATGACCGAAATGTATTACTTTTGAAAGGTCTTTGTATAAATGGAGTACCACAAGATCAATTGAAAATGCTTTACAGCATGTACGCCTCCCCACCAGAAGGCCTCCATCTAACATCACGTTTCCGCTATTAAAATGTAGTAAATTCAATCTGTTCATGTTGACTGAAAGTGATAGCCGCGACCTTATCGGAGCGCCTGTGAAAGACTCTTAGACATTTTTTGAAACGGTGCCCAGGCCGTTTTACACGGACACCGGTTACTGCGATACACATTGCGAAGTTTTGAAAGCTAATGAATATTCTTGTCATATACTAGCAGTGTACCCTTCTACTCCACAATGCGTTGTTAAATTATATGGTATTCATAGAATTAAAGCATCTTGATAAAATATCAAATAAATTCAAAACGTACCTCCTTACGCCGTTTCAGTCGAATGCCAACTCTGCCATCTATCTTCTTCACTGCCACCTCACGAATACATGTAACTGGTGTTCTATGGATAGAATAAACGCAGATTTTTGGATGTCACAAGAAACTGTTGGAAAAATTAGGAGATGCGCTTTGATCCTTCGTATATACAATAGCAATACAGTGCGCTCGCTGAAAGGTGTAAGTTTGGCATCGTATGTGAAAAAACCTCCTTGTAACTCTTTTGTTCCTATACATATTCTTAAGAAAGGTTCAATGAAACAGGCATGCATCACCAGATTCCGATACGTGAAACTCCACAAATACAAGATCCGCCAAGTAATTTTCCCAGGAAATGTAAAGGCAGGCTGATGATACAGCTTTCAACCTATTATAAAAATGTATATGCATTTTTATTGGCACCGATGATCATGCTATGTGTGCGATCACTGAAGGAAAACTTGAAAATTGGATAATAACGGCTTCTTGAATTTCAGAGTAAGAAAGTTTAATGAAAAAATTAAAAATTTAGCATTGCTTAGTGTGATCCGTGTCGTAGCAGGAAACGTTTTCACTTTGAAACAAGAATGCTTACACTTAAGGTTATAGCTTCTGCTCATCTTATGGTTTTTCATAGTAAGCCTCAAATCATAACACTTGAGAGAAAACCGTAAAAAATGCTGCAATGTTTAGCCTTGAGAAGACCCTCAGTAGGAGTAAACACGTTAGAGTACAAGTGGTTGACTGAGTGGTATGGGCGATCAATTCTGCAATGTTTCACACTGGGTGAGCGTCACGCCACCAAAATGGAGCTCTTGTTAACTCCGTGTTGAGAAATGAAGCATGCTTTAGTGTGAAAGAAATGCAATGAACCCTTGTGAGGAAATTTGATATGAAACACATTTGATGATAATTATGTTATTATAGCTGCATAATAAGTTGCATTTTGAAGTAGTCAGCAACACTTCCGCTTGGACATCAGAAGAATAATGCCGTGAGCAAGATTTGTGCAAAACTCTCATCCGAACTCAAAATATAAGATATGACGTCATAGAAACACTCTACAACTTAAAAGAATAAAAAGTTCCACTTGGAAGTGGGCTAGGGTAATTCTACCAAGAGATCTTAAGTAGCTAACTACTCAAAATTTCTGACTCGTTTAACATTTGCACATATTATTCATATGGGGAGCAACAAAGATTCCTCACGCCTTAGTGTCCTACCACAAGCAAGTTCATCATACTAAAATAAAATTGTGTTGTGGATCTGGCCTGAAGACTTTGATTTAACAAATCCACAATTCGCCACTGCAGTCTTAGTTACGGGTTTGCCGACTTGTCCACAAAAGAAATGTTAACTTTGCATGGAACATACACTACTGTCGTCGTCAACCTATAGAAATGTTCCGATAGAACGAATTGAATCAAGGGAGAATCCTTACTGAAAACATTGAAGATTCGAAGGGAAGAGTTCTTCGGCAAACAGTGGTGTTCCATCAGGTTGGTTAACAACGATCTCAAAAACACTGTAACATGGTGGCTTTAATTTAGCTACCTCTTGTTGCATACTGACTTTGTGTTTACCTTTTTTCACTCGCTATTCGTTAAACTAATTGTGTTTCCTAATGTTTTAGCTGATATACTGAAATGGTTAGAAGATTAAAGACAATCATTTGGCAATCCTCGTTCTCTGTTTCTGGCACAATCATTCGAGTGCGCAACACCTCTATCCTACATAGCAGATATAATTAAACAAAACAATGCGTTTGTTTTCCGTGAATGTTTCGTCTTTTAGTACCACTGTAGGCGGTAACGATCAGCTTTAAGTATCGAGGAATATGATTTGCTTAGTTCTTTTGAGCGTCTACATTTTATGATGATGAAGAGTACCATCCACAGCGTAGCGCTTGCTAGTGTAATCAGCCCAAATATACGGCTAGACGTTGACTACGTAACGACAATCTTGACATGAAACCTTTACAAGGATAAATAAACAAATTTCAATTAGGGGTGCATGCGATGAAAGTTTATTCTAAGCTTTTGATTCTCGTTGAATACCAATAGCCTAGATTATGAAAGTGTTTAATGCTTCAAACGAAAAGAGAGCATTCCATTCTGATGGAGAGTAATTTTAGCCAACTTTGTGACACACTGATGGCCTTATCACAAATCGAAGGTTACTTCTGTGGGGTTTGACATAAGTATAATAAAGCAACCACCGTGTTACAAATTTTCAACAAATCTGGTCACGAATTGACAAATTATGGCTATACGTGTCAGATAAGAAAAGCGTTTATATATGGCCAATAAAATCTAAAAGGATAAATAAGATAGCGACTGATTGCACTCTGAGACCTAACGACAAATTTGACGCATGTTATAGGAAGGTTATTAACAGAAGCGTAATATATATAGGCTGCACAGCATAAATTTTAAAATTGATTGCAAAGCTCAGTCTAAAAACCGAGAAACACTTCATTGGAATGATTCCTCTTTAGCCACTTGCATATTAGTGTCCAGCACCTTCCACGATAAATGTTTTTGCTTCGAAATACAGGTAAAACAAAAAATTTTCTGGAGATACCTGATTTGTTTACCAACTGTTGAGACATTACATTTGTATCCACCGTTGTCTTAGTGGAATATGCTCAATAAGATTGTGCATCTGGATAAGTAAATAGAATCAAACTGGTAAATCAAGTTTGGGTTGACTTGTATCGGCGCCGAATTGGGCAGTGGCGGTACAGGGGTCGCTGTATTAAAGTGCATCAATCCGGCACAACATATTTTCAAAACTTGCGACGAAACTTCGTTTTTCTTATTTACATCAGTTATTAATTGCTTAGCTTTTCTATTTTTTGCCGTTAAAATCTTATTCAGCGCACTATACTTACACTGCAATCTCAAGAGTTTAGCCTTCAGACACATATCATCTTTATAGACACAAATAGCTGCCATGTTTTTGGGGCAAAAGGGTTGTGTTTCCCAGCCCACGTAACTTGACTTGCATGAGCCTATTTTGCTAAACGTTTTTATTCGATGTTTATGCTTAATATACTCACATCCATGTGCGCTTTGAAAGTGGGCAAAGTAACTTACATCAAATAGGCGGCCGTTTCCACTGCTTGGTTGAGTAACGCGAGGCATATAATCGGTAACCATCATTGACCTCACAAATAACCCGCTAAAAACTTCCTGGGGATCGCGTTTTACTTACAATTTGGCTTGGCGAAAATGCTTTATAATTTCGTAAAAAATGTATAAACAGAACAGTTTTCCGTGCATTCGGTACTTTGAAACGTGGGTATAAATTTTGCTACGCTCATTGTCTGACTAACATTGTTACTGCACGCATCTCAGTGATGACCGATGAAAACACATCTCAACGGTTCAAGTCTGTCATATATGATTGGGATATGAAATCAAGTAATTCTTTCATCCGTGAAAAGTGTGATTACTTCCATGCAACGGAGGTTATTTAACTGAATAAGTGTCATAGGTGGTACTCGAGAATTCGATCAGGACTTCAAGTTGTATAGCTATAACCCACCAATTCTTTAGCTAGTCCCTCTGAATACACTTTTGCTAACTAGTTAAATTTTTCTTCTGAATTACCGTTTCTTAAAACATACGTGTGTCTTATTAGTGTCCGGATCTTTTTGATAACCAAGTACGCATAGAAGAATCAGTAACAATCGACGATTGCTTGAGGTACTAGATTTATGGATGCCACGCTGATCTGGTCAAATAAATGAGGGTGGCAGTCTCTGAACTTTCCAAAGAGTTTAGTCGGCATTTGTACTAATTCACAAAATTTAGCTATGTTTATTAAAATACCATTATTAGTTGATCGATATAAACATAAGCTCGGCATAATTTTGTACGCCTAGTTTTGATGTGTTAGACGAATTTCCAGAATCTATTCGCAGGCTGAGCTTCCTAGTGAACGGATGTCATCAGAGCCTAGCGGATGGTGCGAGTTTTCTTGTTGTCATAAGTTGCGTTTTCTTCCCAGATATGTTGAATTTTTGGGCCTGTTGTGTGGTTTAAATCACCGTTTTTGTCAAAATTCACATTATCTTGTTCTGTATAGCAAAGGGTTTTTATTTTCAAATAAATGGCTAAAGTAAGATTATGTTTGACCTGTCCAATAGGTGAGAGAATCCATTAAACCGGTGGAAAAAGTTTATGTGTCAACTTTTTGTCTGCCTGTTTGGGTTTACTTATAGAAAAACAATGTGTGAATATGAAGAAGTTAGCTCCGTTGTATTGTTTACAAACTTTCACTAGCTGTTTGATTCGAAAGCAAGCATTGTATTGACTTTAAAAGACTTGAATTTTCCTCGCTCCTCTGAGGAAACAATAGGTGTGCATTTCAAGTGAGTGTGAAATAAAAGACTATTGAACCACTAACTGAATTGGTAGTGCGGTTACTATCAGTAGTGAAACACGGTTTGTGGCGTGCAAACCGATTATCTGAAACCTACCTTGGCCTATAGGTAATGCGAAGGACCTCGGATGCCGACGATCTGACACGTTCCGTTGCGCCATGTGTGGACATGTGACTTACGGGCTCCCCGTCTATTGTGAGTAGTTCGTCTCCCACTTTAAGTCCAGCCGTGGCTGCAGGGGAATTTCGTAGAACCGTTGTCACGTAGATGCCCTGTTGTTTTTTAACACGACATGAAAATATTATTTAAAACAGCCAAATACTATCCTAAATACTATCTTTTGGTCCAAAAACAGAGATTACACGTTGGAAAAACAATTAGTCGCACTGGAAAACCAACAGAACACAAAGATGAGATTGAATGTTTCGTTTTCTATACTTTTTGAAAATGTGCCCCTCGGTGGCCTGTGTTATACAGCAAGTATATGGAGGTTAGTTGGCCGCACATGTAGCCCAATATATGTAGCAATACCGATTGTGCCGAAGGGTCCACCAGTTTGGTTGAATGTAATAAGCCAAACTAGAATCGGCTGTCATCTCACCATGTTTGTGCTCCAATACGTGGGTTAATGAGAAACCGATAGCCCTGCAAGTGGAATTAATATGTGTCAAAAGCCGAGAAGCACGCGCACTTAGGGATGGCTGGGGATGTGCATTTTATGATTCTCTCAAACAAGCTTCAAACAAGCTACCACCGGCCTAGTATGTGAAGACCACATATTTTGACCACGATCGGCAACTACGCAATGCGCTCAACTTTCCCTAAAATAGGATATGGATCCGAGCACGTAGAAGCATGCAATTTACTTGGTCCCATGTGAATTGTTCCTCACGTGACGCGTTCTCAGACAAAGAGCTTGTAAGTCTCGGGAGTAATAATTTTGACGTGGTTTTGTTTGAACAAAGTTCCGCAGTTTGTTTACAGATTATTGCAACAACGCTTGTGGAAATTTTTCAGTGCTTTGCAAGCTTCCAACCAGTCATGCTGGAGGCTGCCGTAGTCAAGGTTTCAATGGGGGTTTCGGTAAACTGATGGGCGCTTCTCCTCCTAACTACATAACGGCAGGCAGAGTATTATTGAAACCACATATCTGACTAACGAACATGTATCGGTGTCATTTTTGCACTCTCAGTTGGCTGAAGTGAAGCTCTTTGACGTCAAGTAACTTAAGGCTCGTCACCCAATAAACTTTACTCATGAGGCAAAAGAATGAGGAATATCTGTTGAACGGTGTCGGTGTGACCTGAAGATAGGAAATGACCTATAAGGATTCGTATACAGCAAGCGCTGAATTGAGAAGGACAATGTCTCATGTCTAAGAGCCCTACGACTTTCATGCAGGAAGAAAATTGTTCGCCGTCCCAAAAACAGGACACCACAATCTGTTTAACTGATATTATTATGGTGGCCATATCTGATATGCTTTATCGGAGTAAATTTCCAAAAAGACTGGCTACGAATATTATATATGAACAATTTGATGAGTGAAAAATACATGGTTTCTGTCAGCCGGTAAAAAATGTGCCAACAAACGAACACGCAAAATCAGAACTATACTGCCTAAATAAAATGCCACCACAGATTTGAAAAAAATTATTAAAAAACTTATCCTAATTCCAAGGTGCCGCGTGCTTTTCCAGAAGTATAAGGAGCCAGTGGATATTTATCCGGCTAACGTTCATCCATTCATTTTTTCGGAGAGGCCACCACCTGAGTTTTGAATAATTTGTCACTGTCGCAATAAATGACAGACGTACTACGCTAACCATAAGGTTGCTGAAAATTATTTGACAGCCCACTACCGTTTTCGCCCTTCTTGAGGCTCATAACGTAGGCGCAATTCCCAAGTCTTCGTCAACTTTATGTTCTGCTTGAACCCACATTGATTCGATTGATTGATTGATTGATTCCGATAAATATACGAATATGCAAACTAATATAGTTTTGCGAAAGACTCACCTGGAACCCAGCTGAATCTCCCTTATCAGTCGTGTTGGTAGATTTTGTGGATTATACATAATGAAACTCACGGCTTCTATGTCTGATTCCAATAAACATATTTGCGGTTAATAGCTCATTGAAAAAAGCTGCACATATTTGGATTAGGTTGCAACAAGCATGTAGGCGTTGAATAAATGTGGACATGAGATGGTTATATTCAGTAGGCACGTTTACCTTTTTATTACTAACTTCGGCTCAATATAACCGAGTGCCTGATTATTGTGCGCGGGCAAAAAACGCCAATTTAAAGAAACCGGTTACCAGAACTGGTTTATCAGTTGCATTTAAAGTGATAACCAAGAAAAGACCATGAAAAACAGCCATCCAAAACTTACGCATCCAAGGGATTCGATTCGCATTCCAAATCTGTGGCCAACGTTGCGCCGCACTAGTGTAACCTCTCGTATTTCGGGCAGCGAATTGTTGGGACAGACCAAGTAAACTGGTTCATTCTGCGTTTGGTTTGATTTTGGTTGTAAAGGAGCTGATAAATGGTTACTCGTACAAGTACCATCTGCCGAACGATGCAGTGGGTGAAGCGGTTTTTCGTCGGTTTTGTCCATGCACGCAGCCGATCCATAGCTTACGGTTTGGTTTTGTACTTCCGTAAGAAATGATGTGTACGTAGGACAGTGGGAATCTTGTGTTGGAAACTTGTTAGTAAGTGGGATTTGGGGTGGTACGGTGACGCGGCTAGGTATAGTTTGTCTCACCGCCTTGCTGACTGGTATACTAGGATGTGTTTCTTCCTGGAGTGGAATTCGGTCCACACGTTGATGAGCACACTGCAAACAAGTTTCAGAAGTGAAGAAAGGAATTGAGCAGAAATATGTTGTAAGAAGCAACACTCAATGAAACACAAGTCAAATTACGAAATTATACAGCTATTCAAGGAATTTTGGACTCCACTGGCATCTAAATAGTTAGAACACAATACTACAGCGTCACAAATGGATTTATAGCAGCATTCGCTAAACCGGCGTAAGGAAATGACAGTAATAGATGAATGTAGATAACTCGACAAGTCTAACTAGTGTTTGAGTACAATAAGATACAAATCCTTTGAAACAGCCTACCCAATACCTACAAACGTGAGAAGTGCAATTCAGCCTTCATCTCGAATAAGTGAACCGTGCCACAAACTTCTAATAGCGACCGTAAAACGAGACCACTCGAATGAGGTGCCCCTGGACGGAGAACTTAAAACTAATTGCTTGCTAAGTGTGCTGGCGCTAAGTAAGTCGAATCAGATCTATTTAAACATACGCATTTTTTAGTTGAAGAATAGTTTCAAAGGACGGCTTGTCGTCGACAATTTTCAGTTGGAGTTTGATCATATATTGACCGCAAGCAAAACCTCCCAAGTCAAGAAGCCCCTCCAGAACCGCCTGCAATTTACGGAGTCAACCATCCTTGGGTTCTTTGTGTTAGCTTAAAATCAAAACAGATGTTCTATTGTGGATGTCTTCATCTAGGTGGCGAATGCAAAGAGAAGTGGTGGTACATATGGACTTACTGTATATTGCCACAATCATCTGCACATCCACGATGTCCGCCCAAACGTTTTTGTTAGTAATCCGACAGTGGATAAAATGGCTTGATCGAAAGAGACATTAATTGAATGACGGTACACGCTCCTTACAATTTGGGTTAAGTTAACGGTTTCAGCTCTTGGCCAATCAATATTTCTTGCCGTAGGCAGTCAAAAATAGCCAGCTGACTCGAGTTAAATGAACAGTCCGAGTTACCTAGATTCCAGCATCTTACATCGTTTAGTGATATGACTGGGATGCGTATGTTCTTGGATTAACTTGCATAAACGTCTGCAGAAGCGTTTGAGTAGGTAGAATAATTGATAATCCACTACATATACATGTAAGTTTAGTGTTCCAGTAACATTTCAGTATTATTACGTTGTACTCATTTGACCTGAGACAAGTAAAATGTTAGAGTTCTTCTCTTCCACCTGTAAACGAAACATACTAATCATACAACTACATTAGGCTCACTATTTTCGCTCGACTTATAAAATACATGTATTGGTTTGTGAAATTTATTAATTTATTTATATTTATTGTCATCACTGTTCCCAAATGGAGAGATGTGCATATCTACTTCCCATTACTTTTCTGGCCTACCACTCAACGGAGCCAATGAACTTACTGTGAAATGAACTTATTGTCAAATGCTAACCAAAGTCACCAAGTAAAATTTAATTCATGTGTTCCTGGTTTATCGTTTTCTACGCACACGCTACTCTTCTTTAAGCAGCACGCTTCTTGTGCCTAAGCGGTCACTGTGACATTTCATACTATAAATCATTACTAAATTAACATCACCTTAATTAAGTATTATCATCCTCAGCTCTGCTGTGGTTCAAATCCAACCATAGTAAAATGTCTCTCCTTTTGGGAAGGGATAAACCAGAATTATAATGACAGAAAAAAAGTCAAACGTACGAAGAAATAAGGTGAAATTTGGCATTTCAAGAATACCGCGCAGCGTAAACATACATTGCGTGACCGATTTACTGGACCATACAAGAAGTACAATGGCAACTCTGTTCACGTAGCTAGAAATAAGAGATTCTTCCACATGCTAACCTCTACTCCACCCTAGAATTTACAAAAATTATCGGCATGTGAACAACAGTTACTGAAATCTAAACGCAACCATGACGTCCATAGTGGTGCCCACTCTCCAGGATAGATCTCAGTAGTATTTCTTCTGATTTTCCGTCTTAATTGGTTTGAAAACTCTTTCCTAATATGCGCCCGCATAATACTGTGGCTGGTTTCCTTTCAGTCCCCTTGGTATGGTGACCAGTAACTCAATGTTGATATCGCAGACATTTATACAATTTTTCCTTGCAGGTTTAGAACGTGGATTTTTCGTCGGATGGAGAGTAAGGATACAATGCTTAATCTAGCACTAGCATGAAACATAACACAAACTGGCTCCAGATGATGTGAGAATCTTAGTACATTGTGGTGTTTTTTAAAATATCTGGTCCCACTGTTGACTCACGAGAGTCGGTGGTGATATTGCTAGCGCGAGAGTCTAAGCGAATGGTGAGCTTCACTTGTTTGTGAACTTCGCAAGCCAATTTGACGACTCAACCATCACTACATAAAAATATTCTCATAGCTTCACGAGCGAACTACTTCGGTTCAATCCGAAAGAAAAATCACTGAGTTGGGAAAGCCAATTGACGACTCAACCATCACTACATAAAAATATTCTCATAGCTTCACGAGCGAACTACTTCGGTTCAATCCGAAAGAAAAATCACTGAGTTGGGATTTAATCGTACCAATAATGGAATAACGTTGCAGCTAACTCAAGATACCGGAAGATTCAGCGGCCTATGACAGAAGCATGAGGCCCTTTTAAGGCACCCTAAGTGTTAATTTTAACGACATTTGAATTTCTTAACCGTTTTTTGTTTTATGATTGCATCCTGTTACCTCAATAACACTGGGTAGTGTTATATGTATTCTTTCATACTCTCAAATGATTTGGAAAATTAGCACTATTCAAGGGATAATAAAAATCCGTGGTTGCATTTACTGATATGAAAACGGAACACGGTCATCGGTAAGTGAAAGCATCGGCTACCTAAGCAAAATTGCGCAGCGTCTCAAACCTTTCGCATAATTCGAATGTGGCATGGTTTTGTCGCTCGATGCTTCTGGATGGGACAAGTTGTGATGCTGATATAGACAGCTTTAGTGCCCTTTAAAATAAATTAGGTAGGTGAATAAAAGATGTAAACAGCCATTACAGAAAGAAATTTAGTTGATGTTCCGGAGCAGAACTAAAAAAGCATTAGTCAAAGATTGTTTACGATTCTTTTATTGTGACAAATTTTGGAATCAACAGGAGATTTGAAGGTAGGATGTAACCACGGGATGATTCCAAAGGCTATTGTAATGATTGTTTGTTATTTCACGTTTTTGAACTAACGGAGTGAACTGATTCACTTTAAATTTTGAACACATTACTGTTAGAAGTGCACTTGTTCTTATCAAGTATTACTGACTGAAAGTGGAGTAACGTAAAATTTGAGCTAAATACTCGCGCTCTTATGGCAAGCACGGCTGTATATGAAATGAAGCAATCGGGTTTGTGGAGAGCACGTTTTTGGCAACTCAAATAGTATCCGCTTCGGCCCACACAAATGCATTTAGACACCACGTGCGGCTTTTCAGTTCGGGTCATAGGGCAAAGACAGTTGGAATTCCAAGTGAATATACTCCCTACCCTGTAGAACAGTGCTGATGGTCAACAGTATATAAACTGCATGATTCTCTGAGGACTCAGAATATCATCCTATATTTGGCTAAAAAACGGAAATCTGTCAAAATTACCTGATTTTACATAAGTCAATGTGTTGCTCACCAAGTCCTTACTCTATTTTCACTGCTTTGTCGCTTTACCATCTGATAGTGACAATATCAGATCTGCTGGCTTCTCTTTTAAACGGATTTGTACGCGCCGTCAACAGTAGCATATTATAAAGACGAATTTGTCATGATGATTTTTAAGTTGATATAACAAGGTGGTGTGAAATCCAAAAAATACAGTGGTCATCTGCCTTATTACCGCAGAAACGTTTGGACGAATGCTTGCGAATGACAGTTGAGCAAATGAGACAGGTTGACCCACCTTGTGAAGATATTTAGTGAAATTGGCATGGCTTGGGTGGTCTTGCGTTGTGTGCGGTTTTGCATAAGTGCGCGACAACTGATCAGTTAAATAGTTCGCATTGGATCCTTTGCCGTTTTCCTTGAATGTCCCAACCGGCAGCGGTGGAGTCCGAAGGCTTCCCGCGGATTTACTCTTTGGCAACTTACTAGAAGTACCAAATGTTCGTTCAAGGATTGCCCAAACATGTCTGGCTTTGCTACTGATACAGGAACTGCGTCTGAGACTAGACGGTTCATTACACCCTTCTGAATGACAAAATGTCTTGTTTTTTGCAGAACGTCCATCAGAAAATCTGAACCGTTGCATGCTTTTGCTCCTAACTGTCGGCAGCAGTGGAATGCTGGGTTCGCAAGTCGGTGGGAATGAACAAGAAGAAATGGAGGACGCTGATGAATCCCGAGAGCCAAGTGGATTATTTTTGTCCAGCCTGACTGTGGCCGACCGTGCAAACAAAACTTTAATTGCGTCACTACTGAGCGAGTTACGCAATCGTGTGATAGGGAAGCGATTTCGTAGCTTCCGTTCAGAGGGCGCTTTGCTGAGAAATTCGTTTACTCTTGCCTGTTTTGATATGGTTGTTTTTTCCAGCCTGTTTGAAATTTTTTGCATCGATGGAGCTTGTTTCTTGTAGTCAACTGTCAAAGGCCTATCAGAAACCGAAAGTACGACCGATTCCACTCCGGGATGGTGTAGATCGTTTGAGATGAACGAATATCCAGGTCCCGTAATAGTGGCCATCACGTGAGGTGTGTATTAACTGTAATTATAAAAAAGAAGAGGAAAAGTGTGACCTTTCAGTTATACAAACAGATAAGGATTAACAAAAGTTACGGAGTGCTCCGTTCACAACATA